TCGTGTTTTCGTGCCGTGCCGCCCGTTGTCCAACGAGATGCGACCTATTTCCCCGCCCCACGAGCCGGAAGGTTGTTCTGGTCCCGTAGATCGGTTGCTTAATAAGCTCCCGGCAAGTTGGAGGGAAACGTCGGACATCGTGCCGAGCAGCATGCGGTTGCGACCCCGAAAACTAATCGGAGAGCCGTACAGCAACAACGTCGACAACCACACACGCCCAGCAGCGGTCAAAAAATTCAACGTCTGGCCAACCGTGATGGGGGAAAACCAAAAATACAACCCCTTAGAGGGTTCTCCAGACCGCCTAGAGGGAGGCCCTTTCCGCCCGCGGTGACGTCGGCAAGAAATTGCGGGGCTGCACAGTTTAGCCTCTTTTAGTGGGCGCCACGGTGGAGAGATGTTAACTACCTCGCCTGGTATACAGGAGGTCGTGGGTACGATCCCGACCCTGACGCCTGCTGCTGTATATTTGGAGTTTGCGTGTCTCATCATTATCACAGTGGCTATGAGATGTCAACTCCCTCGCCTGGTGCACAGGAGGTCGTGGGTACGATCCCGACCCTGACAGCCTGCTGCTGTATATTTGGAGTTTCCGTGTCTCATCATTATCACGGTGGCTATAAGATGTCAACTCCTTCGCCTGGTATACAGGAGGTCGTGGGTACGATCTCGACCCTGACGCCTGCTGTATATTTGCAGTTTGCGTGTCTCTCTCTCCGTGGCCGCGTGGATTTTTCTCCGGGTCCTCCGGTTTTGCGGTGTTTAGTTTCCTTACCCATGAGAGAAGCCATAGGATTGCCTGAAGAACGCGGAGGGGAAGGTTTTGGCTTCGCTGGGCTCGCTTCTGAAAAAAAGGTTCTGCCATTTTGCTTGAGGATAAATGTTGCGGTGATTTTTTGTGTGTTTTTCTCTCTCTCTCCTCTCTCTCTCTCACGTGTTTTTTTGGCTACGTTTGCGGTTGCTTGTTTTGTGTGATGGCATAAATTCACCGTCTAAAAGCTTATATGTATGCACAGTCGATCTGTGCCTGGAGCTTGATGGTAATGCCTCGGTTATATTGTTAAGTCAATATCGCATTACAATTGTTCGTTATTAGAAAGTGTGGAGGAGGGGGGGGGCAGAGTGGGAGGAGAAATATCATTGTCTTTTACGCTAATTGGGCTATGTACCCCTTAAAGAGACAACCGTTATGGGCCTAATTTGCCATTATCCGGCTTTTAACTACGTGAGCTGATTTTTGTGTTGTGCTCCCGTGGCAATCACGTGCACAATGGCGACTACGGCTACATGCGTGGGGGAGAGGGGGGCGGTGTTTTGTTGTTGTTTTAATCCACGGAGAAAACTGCGCAGTCGCCTCAAACAAGTTTTTTTTTACTTTCACGAGTCGTTCAAATGAAACGCAATCGACGAGATGCGGCCGGCAAAAGGTCACATTTCACGACCAAAAAAAAAAACCCCGCAGAGCCACGTTACCATCGCACAAAGGGGGGGGGAGGTGCAATGAATGCCTTTTAATAGCGGGCATGCTTCACGCGGCGTCGCACACTTTTTGCTGAAAGAAATATTTCAGTCGTATCACACTTTGCTGCTGCGGGGCTCGCGATAATGCATAAAAGCTCTATCTTAAAAATGCTAAAATACAATTTTTATCCCCTTTTCGGGAGGCACCCTGTCAGATGTTTTAAAGAAATAGAAAGGCAGCCGGTGACATTTTAATTCTGTTCCGAGGCGCGTAGCTCGCGCGCAATAAATGGCAGGCGGGCGATACCGTGGGGGGGCGGGGGTGGGTTGGTGGGGGGGGTTGGTGGGGGGGGTTGGTGGGGGGTTGGTGGGGGGGGGTGGTGGGGGGGTTGGTGGGGGGGTTGGTGGGGGGGGTGGTGGGGGGGTTGGTGGGGGGGGGTTGGTGGGGGGGTTGGTGGGGGGGGTGGTGGGGGGTTGGTGGGGGGGTGGTGGGGGGTTGGTGGGGGGTTGGTGGGGGGGTGGGGTTGGTGGGGGGGGTGGTGGGGGGGGTGGTGGGGGTTGGTGGGGGGTGGTGGGGGGTTGGTGGGGGGGGTGGTGGGGGGTTGGTGGGGGGGTTGGTGGGGGGGGTGGTGGGGGGGGTTGGTGGGGGAGGTTGGTGGGGGGGTTGGTGGGGGGGTTGGTGGGGGGGTGGTGGGGGGGTTGGTGGGGGGGTTGGTGGGGGGGTTGGTGGGGGGGTTGGTGGGGGGGGTTGGTGGGGGGGGTTGGTGGGGGGGTTGGTGGGGGGGACACTCGATGGCTCCTCGTCAGAACGTCTCGGACGTGCGGGTCACACCGCGACGCGCGCCGCGCTACGAACCCCGGCTGCAAACCCGAGTTCGCCAACGCCGGCGACGATCGTCCGAACCGGTCCCGTGGGTCTCGCCTCGGTCGACTCGGCCGCAAATGAGCACCCGATCTGCGGTGTGCGGCGGTGAGACAAAGGCGACCGGAGGTGGTTGGTTGGCCACCCGCCTCCTCGTACGCCGTGCTGACCTTCGCTGGTGCTCGCTAATAGCACTTGCCCCCATTATATGTTAAGGCTATCGGGGGGATCTTTGTCTTTATCGGGTTCGGAGAGGATGTGGGCAAAAACGCGACTGGACATTGCTGCTCGTGGTCAGTTTTATCGTTGCGGAGCCGATTGGAGCGGTGCATCTTCATAATAACCATTTTTTGGAAAAAGTTATCAATCATACCTGGGCTACCAGTGGTGGATGATTTTAATCACGAGGCCGATATGGATCTCCTTCGCTCTCTCTTCACGGCTGCCGGCTGGGATTGTGTCGCACTGTGTGTGCGAGCTGTCTGTGCCAGCCGCGTGAAGACAGAGTGGCTCTCATCGGCGCACACAACGCAGGCAAAATACAAATATCTGAAAGTTACGTGGTGTGCGTGCGTGCGTGTACCTGCGTGACATTTGCATTCGGTTTAATAACGGTGCAATTACAATTTATATCGGACCAATCTAGAATATGAGTGGTTATTCTTAACCTGGGGTGCACGCTGCATCCCCTGGGGGTGTGTGATGCCCTTTCTGGGGGTGCGAGACACGGACAGGTTTTTTTTTTAGAAGGTAAATCATCCAAACACAAATTAAGCACGGGCACTTAAGTACAACTACTTTGTTTCATCAAATCAAATGCGTGTTTAACATTTTTTTTTTTTACGATTGACCACCAAAGGGGTGCAAGGCTGCAGCAAAGGTTAAGAACCACTGACCGAGATGCGTACAAAGACGTCTGGCCTGTGTTGAAGAGTAGGCCAAACACCCTCGAGTGAGGCTGTCTAGAGCTCCCTCGAGTGGAGGTCCGTCCACCAATAGTGGAATGAGCAAGTAATTGCAGGGCTGCCCCTCTACCTATCTACGTAAATAATGCGTATATCATATTGATGACCAGGTGAGAGCTCCCTGAGATTAAGGGTCTAAATTTTCGTGTGAGACGTGGGGGGGGGGGGGGTACGTTTGCAAATGCCAAAACAATAACGAGTAATCAGCACCAATTATACAACACAGAAATGTCAAATGCCATTCGCGAACACTTACAACGCGAAGATGTTTTCACGTTGTCCACGTGGACTCCTCTCGGCAAGCCTTCCCAGCCGGTATCCATCTCTCGCAGTCGCACGATACAACAACCCCTCTCGCCCACCTGCACACCAAGAGGCGTACCGCTTCGAGTATTTGGCTGCTATGAATATCCACGTGATGAGCCGGTGACCGTCTTTGCAAAGACGTCTTTGCAAAGACGGTCACTGCATCGCGCTTCTGCGGCCGTCTGGAACGTTGCTCTCCCTTCCGGTATGCGGAGGCCACTGAAGTTATGCACTTTTAAATCATCTCCATTGACAAACGCATGGTGCTTTAACATAAAGATACGTGATAAAGGCGCAGCCCTGGAGTGCCTTGTTAACGCCACTGCTGGCGGAAGGCCCTCTGCTTATTATTTTGGTCTACTCTTTCACGCTGGCCAAAATCGTCTTTGTAGGAATACCCACACTTGACCCCCACCCACGCGCGGCCAGCTTATCAGCCCATTGATTTAAACTGCCGCGCCGGAAGATCGAAGCGGCCGCCCCTGGGTTGCAAGTCCGGTGTCGTGCTGACCGTCACACCACCGTGTCAGCGTCTGGTTTTGCTCGAACGTTGCCAAATGTCAGAATCAGAATCTTTATTTAGACTGCGGGAGGAATCCGATGAGCCATGAAGCTCCTTTTTGCACAGATGCCCAGTGCGGGCGGGTCACCACGTGACAGAACGTTACGACGAAATTAGCGCGCGGCCGCTGAGCGCAGGCCCCCCCAGAAAACGCGGAGCGGCCAGCAACGAGCAGCACTGCTTGAAGTCGCAGAAGCAATCTCACGAGCACGCCAAGTTCGCGGCGGGTGTGTTTGCCACGGTCGTGCAGAGCTTTGTCATTTGCCAAACGCTGATAACGTTTGGCCACTGCCCCATCATTTTTCTTCCCTAACTTTTTTTTTGCCACCGCTGATCAATTTCTGCTCAGACTGCCCCCCCCCCCCTCCCCTACTCTCCCATCCTCTGCTCCCCTTCTTTGCCCCCCTCCTCTCCCTCCCCCTCCTTACCCCCGCCCCCCCGGGTCTCTCCACCCCCGTGTCTGGTCTGAGATGTCCTTGCTTGGCAGCGTCGGGATGCGAGGCAGGTGAGCCGGGGCCTCTTGACCACCTGTTCAGGCGCTATTGAGTGCGCCATTTAATTACATTTAAATTTAAATCGACATTCATTAAATTTCGCTCAGATTTTCTTTTTTGTTAAATGCACTTTATTACCGATTGTCCTATCGGAGTTGAATCACGAGGTGCAGCAAACTGCTTTTGGAATGTCTTATTTCTGACGATCCTCCATTGTCATGATGTCAGAAAAGTGCCCGGTTTAATTTGTGATGTTACAGCTCTTTGTCATTCCACTGCTGAATGATGGCTTACTTCAAACCCTGACAGATGTGGGGGGGGGGGGGGGGTGGGGAGGGGTGTTTGACCACATTTAGAATCAACCTCACGCCTTTATCTGGTGACTGCTAAAGATGTTCACGTGAAAATCAGCCACTTCGGTGAGCGATCGCTTGTGGCCAGGTCGCTTCTGGAAAAAATAACTGCGTCGCTCAAGTGGGCCTGACCTGGTGAAATAACACAAAAAACCAGTTGGTAAAGCAGTTAGTTTGGGCACGGTGGTACACAGCTTCGCATGTTTGCTCAGACTCAACCGGAGAAGCGGTCGCCCTTCGTGGAACACATCAAGGACTTCCAGCGAGGTAGAGGCTCGGGGGGTGGGGGTTGTGGGAGACACGGGACGCGATTGTAATTTCCACTTGCGCGCCGGTGAACCTGGGTGACAAATGGGCAGCTGCCTTTACCCCTCCCCCTCCAGCCTCACGCCCCACGCCAATTCATAAAACTCTGCTCGCAGCCACTTAATGGAGCGGCCTGAGTGAGTGATTTACTCGGGAGATGGATATTATTCCTCCCGCTTGACTTGGAGGCTGCAGGTGTTTAAAAATGGGTGGCTGAGAATTAGAAGAAGAAGGTAGGACATTACATCCGCCCAAGTTCTTGTAATTAAAACGGAGAGTTGGCACGGACGCACACGAATATAGAAAGCACACTCGATTTTGATTTCAATAAAAAAAAAGGAATGAGCATTGAAAAATTGGGGTTGGAGCGGTGGCACAGTGGTTAGCACACTGCGGTTGTTAAAATATATTTGTTTGTATTACCTGTGATTACATGGGGGGGGGGGGGGGGGGGGGGTATGGTAGAAGGGGTTACTGGTTTAGAAAGACCCAGAATATATATAAAAACTAAATGTTTTACCTTTTTAACTGACAAATTAAGGGAACTACTACAGTGGCGAAATGTTTCGTGTCCTGGAATTGCAATCCAGTCGTCGCCGATGTGATTCCATGTCCTGGTCGCGGCACTTGTGAAGCCGGGGCAAGCATCTTCAATTGCCTCCGTCTCTGTCCACCCAACAGTACGATGGGCTCACCGCAATTAATCGATCCGCCTGTGGTGGGTTAAGGTGTGATTACACCGACCTGATTCAGCCCGTCTTGTCATTGTGGAAGAGTAGACGTAAATACCATCAAGAGCTCCCTTTAGTAGTGGCCTTTCCTTAAAGTTGCTACTCCGAACCGGGTGCCCTAAGTTAGATTCCCGGCCATGGATAGCATCGGTGGCGAGAGATATTAGAACGGTCGTGCCCACCCCCACCCTCGGACATGCAATGCGGTGATACAAGACATGCATGTCAGGCAACATAAACAAAATTATCTTTTTATTTTACCAGGTAAGGCCCACTGAGCTATATAGATTTTTTTTCAGAAGCGACCTGGCCACAAATGACAGCTCAACGAAGTGGCTTATCGTGTGGAAATGTATAACAGCCAAATACTCTAATCGCATGTTTCCAAATGTGGAAGGAAAAACCGGAGGACCCAGAGAAAAATCCACGCGACCACGGGTAGAACATGCAAACACTCCAAATATACAGCAGGCGTCAGGGTCGGGACCGAACACCACGATCTCATATATACCAGGCGAGGTCGTTAACATCTCACAGCCACCGCGGGCGATGGGCGTTGTGCCTCACTGCTCTTAGTGCCTTCTGCTCTCACGGACTAAGATGTGCATCTGAGAGCGCAGAGGATGGCTTTGTGATCACGCCTGTGTGCGGTGTCAAACCTCACTGGGTGGCCCTCCAGACTCACGGCAGGGAGGAGGAGGGGAGGGGGGGAGTCCACGGCACCTCGGTGCGTTACCACGACGACGGATGGATGGACGTCTCGCGGCTAAATCAGCGCCGTGACTGATGCCCTCGCCTCCGGAGACACAGACAATGCTAATGCTCCCAAAGCCAATCACATTACATTTGCGGAGCCCCAGCCGCGAGCAATTTCCACCCTGCACTCTCCCGTGCCTCCTCCGGCCTGGAGAGCTGCCAGCGTCTGGTTTCTAGCCACGGCAGAAACACCAGGCAGGCACCATTTGCAGAGGAAATGTTATCCCTCCTTTCTCTTGCTCTCTCGCTCCTCCTCCTCATGCCCTCGAGCGCCTCAGCTCTGCACCATTCGTCGCAGCATTGAGCTGAAAGTAATAGAATTATTTCGTTCCGAGCAAAAAAAAAACTCAAGCCCTTTATCATTTTTATACATCCGCCATAGCGTGCCACACATTGGGCGAGTATTTTTTTTTGAAGCAGCAAATCTTTCATTGTCCCTCTTATAACTGTGCTAAATTCTATAACGTGTTTAATCACTAGGTCTAATTACTACATTCCATGCCATTGGCAGCTTGTCCATTAAGCTTAACTCTTTTCACGCGCGTGCGCCGCACAAATCTCACCGCGACGCTCAGAGACGGCGTCGGGGATGCTCTCGCAAGGAACATCGCTGACGGCCAGCCCGCGACTGGCTAATGCGAAATAAAAACGACCCTTCCTTGCCATCCCAAGTGACGAATTGAGGCACAGAAACAAAATAATGATGATTTTTTTTTTATTATCATCGTGCTTTAAAAACGTCCAATTGCTTCAGGACGTCTCCGTTCCCTGCCGTCAAAATTGCCGTGGAGGAAAAGCGTTAATGAAGCTTTTGTATTTAATTTACCTCGCTGGTGACATTTAATTACACTTGAATCTAAGTGTGTTGAATGTTAAGTGCACCGATTGCGAAAGTGAAATATATTAAATTATAAAAAAATCGTAATAATTTGAAACTGTACGCACCGGTGAGGGCTGTCCTGGCAGGTTCACGCGACCTTTGCAGGGACCGAGGATGAACCCACACAGCGGGACACTGTGACCCGTGAGCTGCCCAGTGATAGGCATGTAATAATGCGGTGGGTGGAGTGGTGGCACAGTGGTTAGTGCAGTGCGCTGTGAACCCAGAAACCCTGGGTTCGATTCCTGGCCACGGTTAACGTGAATGGCGATCCAGCTCCACCTTCACCAACTGCGCTCACCGTTGTGGTGAAGTATGGTGAATAGACCCCCATGAGTGATACCTCACAGGGAGGCCTTCATCCAGCATTGAATTGATAAAGGGTTCCAATTTGCTCACCCTACTGGACATCTGTGAAAAAGAGCTTCACAGCTCATAAGATTCCTCCAGTTTAAATAAATATTCTAATTCTGATAAACGATGAAGGTATTTAACAAATTAATTCGCCTTATTTTATTTTAAAAATGTTTAAGTCTCTTCATTGGATGACATGAATATAGGATACAATAATAAAGTAAAATTATGGATATGTGTACCTTGTACTCTAGTGGTAGTGCCTTACACCACTAATCCCCGTTATAAAGCCAGGGATAGGAGCGTTGCGTAAAAATAAGTCGTAGGGAAACTGCGTTCTGTCGTCGAGGAAGTGGTGAGATAGACCCTTCAACGGTACCGGGTGACAACCTTAAGAAGCCACGGTCCAGGCCGATCTGAATCATCACAGCGCGAGGCTCCGTGGAGTGAGATCTCGAGAGCACGGGAGAGGGGGGGGAGCGCTTTGCTCTGCGCACAGGCGCCGTTGTTGGCGTGGTTGGCCCAGAATTTGGTGGGGGGGGGGAGGGGTGGAAATGTGAAAATAAACAGGCAATAATAAACTACATGGCTGCAGGCCGTGTTTAATTTGAAATCTGTCATTTTTGCCGTGGTTGACGCGAGGAATTGAGCCGCCTAATGGAACCCAACCTGGCTCAGACCTCGTAACAGATTGCCTCGACCGCAAACAATCTGTTTCCTGCCGCCCGCACGCGATGGTCACTTTAATCGTACAGATGCTTCTTCAGATCCACGGCCTGTCATTGAGCCACTAACGTCCACTGCCGAAGAGCATCTGGCGGTCTGCGGTTTCCTTCTACGACGAGCAGAGGGGGGGGGGGGGCGGTCACGCCAAAGTAAGGGCAGGAGGTTGAATGTCAATGTTTAATGTCACGCAGCAGAGTGTCCTTGACCTGCGGACTACTATCCAATACCTCTGCAGCTCAGGCTGCGCTCCTGCTCTGCAGAGGTATTGGGACTTGGGGCGAGGGCTTTTAAACGGAAAATTTTAATTGCCTTCCAATCCGTGTGCTCGTCTGTTTGTCTTTCACCATACGAGACAGACAGACAGGGGCGCCAAAAAAACCTCGATTATGGATGAATTAAACCAGACGGCCGCGCAGGAAGTCCAGGAAATGTTTGAATCGCAGGACCGTGAGGGATGATTTCGACGGCTTTGGGTAGCTTTCGTCCATTGGTGGATTGATCATGGCCGATGAAGGTGATGATGATGATGCTGAGGATAATGGCAATAAATATGATGATATGCATTCATTTGCTGATTTGTTCGCTGGTTATCTCACAGATGTATTAGTCCGCACGTACGTCAAGGCAAGTGATTCTCTTGTACTTGCGCCAGACCGCTGGGCAGCGTTGAGGGGCGCCAAGTCATTTGAAAGGTCTCCCCATCTCTAATTAGATACGTGACCTATCTGTGCTGACAACCTCCAGCCCACCCTTGATCTTCCGCCAAGAAATCGTGAAAGTATATTTAGAAGAAAAAATATAATGCGAGGGGTTTTTATGTGTATAATTATCGTCCTCCGGCCCCATTCAATTACATTTTGCCCGAGGTTTTAAAAAAATATTTTCTTCGTATTGTTTAGTGCTGCAGTTGGTTATGATATGCCTTACGTGATGCTGGTAATCTTGTTTTACTCGTTTTGTGTGTTTTTTACTTTGTTGAGTAATTGCTCATCTCAGCTCTGGATGTTTGGTCTGCGATGTAATGCAAAGCTGTGAATTCTTAACCCACCTCGTCGTCATCATCATCAGCTATGACGAAATCCATAGCTGAATGGGGATGTGGAGAGATAGTTAGGCCTTTGTCCTCCAAAAAGCCTTGGTCTTCCGAAGCTGTTGCCTTCTCACGTGGTGCGACATCGCGCGTTTGCGGGTGCGCGCCTGCAGCCGTCTGGAACGCTCTTGCCTCCCATATGAAGAAGCCAGTGGAGTTATGCACTTTTAAATCACTTAGATTGCAAACTCATTTCTGTACAAACTTATTGTTGTGTTTAGTTGGTTGCCCTTCCACCGCACCTCCGATTTGCACGGCTGGCTACATACGGTGCAAAAGAAATTCCCCATAATACCTACATAACAATTCTGAATCAGAGTATTTATTTACACTGGAGGAATCCGATGAGCTATAAAGCTTATTTCACAGATCTCCAGTAGTATTGTCGCCGAGCGTCTGCCCACGAGCTGTTTTCATTGCTCCATCTCCTCGGTAAACGTCCTCTCGGTACGCGTTCCGTTCCTTGGCTCCCAATTCTACGTTCCGTTCCGTGTCGCATTGCCACATTTGGACACAGTGAATGCGTATTTATTCTACATTCAATTACAAGGAACTTACATTTGTTTATTTTGCACGGCAAACACCGTCGTGATTAATTTTTTTATAAACCCGTAAAAAAAAATCTGCATATCAACAGCGTCGTAAAAAAAAAACACTTTAACAGTTGCGCGCCTTTGAAGCACTTTCAAAATTAAAAATGAATATGATTTTTTTTTTCAGAGTGACTGGAACTGCTGCACGGTTTCCCTTCACCCTCATTCCACAGCCCCTGGTTTCCCTTTGAATTCCAATCAGGCATCCGTTGCCATGTAATTTATGCAAATGAACGTGAACAAAGTGGCCCTGTTTTTTTTTGCAGCAGCAGCCTTCTAATTAACAGCGATGTTATCCCTTTGGCGAAAGGGCGAAGAGCCCTCAAGAAGAGGCTGCCTTTGAGCAGGGGTGTCTGCGCCCCAGAAACACGACGTAGTCGTCGTAATCCTTTCTAATTCCATTCTCGCCCTCGTTAAGTAGTTATGTTGAGTGGGCCATCCGACGGGTTGTTTTCTACCCCGACGAGCCCCCCCCCCCGCGAACCGCGTGCTCAATGTGCTTATTTGTATTTAGTTTGCTGTCATTCACCCCGCACCTTCGATTACGACGGTTGGCTACGTACGGTGCGAAAGAAGTTCAGCGTACACACGTAGAGTCTCATCGCTATCCTCCGCAGAGATTCGTAATACAACGACGCAGAGCAGCGCAGCGCCGTACGCCCGAGACGTCGGTGCGCAGAGCTTAGCAATGTCAGCTCCATCTGTCCTCTGATTAGCACGGTTGGCTACGTACGGTGCGAAAGAAGTTCAACGTACATACATGGTACACGCTTACGGTCCTCGGTCAATTGATTGCTGGTTGGTCCAAGGTGGTGATTTGGCCATACTTCATCACGTTAGTTCATGTGGGATTGGGCGAAAGGGGCTTGGTGACCCAGGACCGGTCCAGATGTCGCTCACCCGCTGATGCTAGCCGTGGTGAAGTATGGCAAAGTATGTATGCTGAACTTCTTTCGCACCGTACGTAACCAACCGCGCTTCTCAAACTACCCCATCCCACTCGCCATGCCTGGCGCGGGCAACGGAGGAAGCTTTCATCCCATATTGAAATGACAAAGGGCTTTCAACATTATTATTATTATTATTTTAAAAAATATATATATACATGTGTAAAAAATACATCGTTTATTAATTTATTCTCAAGAATTCCTGGGTAGTGTTTGTTTATGTGCTACTCATTACACGTAGAAATGTGAAAGTCTGCGAGAGAGAATTTCTCGTGCCGCACAGAGAGCGCGCGTGCTCGTTGCTTGCCATGACGACGCCTCTGCTACGCCGACTCTGTTTCCATGGTAAATAATAACATCACTCGAGCAATTGTGTTATTTCTTCCACTAATGAGAACATATTTCACGCTCTCATTGGCACGCGCTGGGTGTGTGTAAGTGCCGCCGTGCTGCATTTCCCCTATTACCTGGGTTGACTCGGTAACTTCGTAAGATATCCTTTCAAATCACCCCACACTTAACATCCATACATTCCCTAAGGATCATACGTCTCATTAATTTGACACAATGAATGCACGCGAAGAGAGCACTGTCACTGTTTAGGTTGGTGCAGTTATAATTGCAGTTGATGACTTAATAGTATTTTGCATTATGATTACCATCCAGAAAAACAATGACTCCTGTTTGGTTTTGGCAAATGCTCTGTGTAAGTCTCGCGAGGCCACGTGGGGGGGGGGGGGGGTGATGTCGGTTGTTTGATCATACTTCACCGCACTGCTCAGTGCGAGTTGGTGAGGAGGGAAGGAGGCAGGACTGGTTCAGACATCACTCGTCACTGGCGTGAGCCGTGGCTGGCATGCATCCTCGGGGTTGGACGGTCACCGCATCGCGCGCTTTCAGACGCGCTTCTGCGGCCGTCTGGAACGCTCTTCCTTCCGATATTAGGAAGACATTAGAGCTGTGGCACTTTCAATGTAGATTGGAAGAAAAAAAAACTAATTTCTTTAGAACTGCCTTTTTAATTCAGTTTGTTGTCCTTCCCCCACAACCCTGGTTAGCGCGATTGACTACGTACGGTGCGAAAGAAGTTCAACGTACATACATAATGCAGTGTGCTAACCACTGCGCCCACCATTCCACCTCTCTATATGATAGAGCACACCAGTTCTGGTTGGTTTGTCCAGACCTTTTTTCATTGAGCCCGTGCTATAGAGTGGCTTCACGAGAATCGGCATGTAACTTCACTTATTTATTTTAAACCACGGAAACAATTCCTCTCTTAAGTATTTTCTTCGGCTCGCTGGTAGCCTGGAGTAGGCGACACGTGACGAGTCGCACCAGTCATGGCACAAACGGTATACTGGATGTGGTGTGCCGGATGCAGAAATGTCGTGCGTGTCGCTGGTGGACTGGAGTGTGTGGAAAGTCATCAGCAGCCACAGCCATCGTGGGAAGCCCTCCGGATGTGGTGTGCTGGCTTCGGCAATATTATCGAGATCGCTCATCCAGACAGGCCAGGCTTAGATGCATTTCTGGACATCCATGTATAAGTGAGTGTCGATATATACAGCACGTCATTTATTTGTTAATGTTTTAAACATTGCGCTGTTGTGTTGCTGTGGCCGGCATCGGAGTGATCGTTCTATGGGATGGCGATGGTCGAGAATCGGAGTGATCGTTCTATGGGATGGCGATGGTCCAGAATCGGAGTGATCGTTCTATGCGATAGCGATGGTCTAGAATCGGAGTGATCGTTCTATGCGATGGCGATGGTCTAGAATCGGAGTGATTGTTCTATGGGATGGCGATGGTCCAGAATCAGAGTGATCGTTCTATGCGATGGCGATGGTCTAGAATCGGAGTGATCGTTCTATGCGATGGCGATGGTCTAGAATCGGAGTGATCGTTCTATGTGATGGCGATGGTCTAGAATCGGAGTGATCGTTCTATGGGATGGCGATGGTCTAGAATCGGAGTGATCGTTCTATGCGATGGTCTAGAATTGGAGTGATCGTTCTATGCGATGGCGATGGTCTAGAATTGGAGTGATCGTTCTATGCGATGGCGATGGTCTAGAATCGTTGTGATCGTTCTATGCGATGGCGATGGTCTAGAATCGGAGTGATCGTTCTAAAGGATGGCGATGGTCTAGAATCGGAGTGATCGTTCTATGCGATGGCGATGGTCTAGAATCGGAGTGATCGTTCTATGCGATGGCGAAGGTCTAGAATCGGAGTGATCGTTCTATGCGATGGCGATGGTCTAGAATCGGAGTGATCGTTCTATGGGATGGCGATGGTCTAGAATCGGAGTGATCGTTCTATGCGATGGCGATGGTCTAGAATCGTTGTGATCGTTCTATGCGATGGCGATGGTCTAGAATCGGAGTGATCGTTCTAAAGGATGGCGATGGTCTAGAATCGGAGTGATCGTTCTATGCGATGGCGATGGTCTAGAATCGGAGTGATCGTTCTATGCGATGGCGATGGTCTAGAATCGGAGTGATCGTTCTATGGGATGGCGATGGTCTAGAATCGGAGTGATCGTTCTATGCGATGGCGATGGTCTAGAATCGGAGTGATCGCTAGATGTGATGCCGATGATCCACAGTGTTCTTGTTAACCCATTACGCCATTTAGCCAGGCGCGTCGTCTTGGGTCGACACGTATTAGTCGACCATTAAAGTTTCATCCCCATGCATTTGCATTCATTTCATCTGATAAACGTTTCGCCTGGGGAGGCTTTCGATCCCCGCGAGCCCTACCCACGCAAAGCGAATTTTAATCGAAAGTGTGTCCGAAATGTCTGCGACGCTGTACTGGAGAGATATAAAGAGAGGCAGAGAGAGGGGGGGGGGGGGTATGTCGACGACGACGACAGACTTCATGCCACACACTGCCCGGTCTCGACTCGTGCCTGACAAAGCAACATTTCAAACCTCCTTTGTAAACAGGCTGCTCAAAAAAAAAAACTCACGATTCCAAATGTACCTTTCCTTTTGTCTTCCTCTTGGCAAGATTGATATTGTTGAGTGAGCTGGTGTTTTTTCCCCTCTCTCTCTCACTGTTTTCTCGCCGGCTTTGTTTAACCCTTTATTTTGCGGCTTCACCAAGGGCGATGCGCGTCCGCCTGGCACGGTCCATGTGCGCCAAAGCAGCTTCCCAGCGTGCACCGGGACCCACGGGGCTCCAGCCGGAGCTGCCAAGGCTGCTGGGGCCGCGAAGAGAGACATTTAACAGCGGGCCCTCATTTAATTCCTTGCGCCGATGCACCACGCCAACCACGCCGCGCCGACTCGTGTTCCCGGGCAAGGAAGCCTCCACATTGTGCCTGGCCCTCCACGTTAATCACGGACACCGCTGCCCCGCACGCTCCCTCGCTCTGCCACGCCGGTTTTGACCGTAACTCAGCGCTATTTACCAGGGCGATGAATCAAGGTGGCGGCAAGTGGGCAGGGAGGACAGACACAACAGGCGTCACTTCTGATGCAGACGCCACCTATTCAATTACTCAGGAGTGCTCGCGGTCGCGCCAACGAAATATTTTCGATGGGGGGCCACATCGGGATATGGGAGATTGAGACGCGCGTGTGTGTGTGTGTTGGGTTAGTGTCCTCGTGTCTCACGTAGTCAATAGATTATAATAATATACCACGGCGTGGTCCTTTGCTTAGGCCACGAAAGCTTTTCCGATCCTCAATATTCCTCGTCGGTGTGTGGGGGCAGAGGGAGGGCGTCGTGTGTTCTGACTGCAGCAGTAAAACTGCATTTTCCAGCATTTCATGCATCTGGAAACAAATAAAGAGGACCATTAGCGGGGGGGGGGGGGGCCTAAGAGTCAATCCAATAAAATCAATCGATGCCATTTTTTGTGTAAGCAGTTCTCCGCGCGTCGATATGAAAAACAGCAGCGGCGCACGCTCGCAACATCTCTCCTGTCTACGCATTTCCATGACGAGCGCGGCAGGACGTTGCAGAAATGCGGAGAGAGGAGAGATGTTGCGAACGTGGTGGATTTTTTTTGCCGGTGGTGGTGCTACTGCCCACGGTGCTGTGCGGGCAGCAGCACGCCCGCCACACACAAAAAAAAAACCACGCTCCGCAAATTTCCAGTAGCGTAGCAACCGCATGAATAGGCCCCTCTTCTTCTTATTATTATTCTTCTTCTTTTTTTTAATGATTCTCATGCAAAGTTGCTTCCTTTAAATAACCTTCTGGAGATGTACAAATTCCCAAGATCGCTGCGTTTCCGCGGAATCTCAAAGCCCTGGAGCGAGCGAGAGAGAGAGAGAGCACGCTAGTTCAGCGCGAGCCGTAGTGGCTTTTAAAAAAAATGTCTCTCTTCTTTTTTTCTTTTTTCCATTTTCCCGCTTACTGATTATCCCGTCGAATCTGAGTAATCCCATTGATCCGGGGTGTGCGGTTACACGCGGCACACAACCCATCCCCGTGGCAAATTTAATGCCCCCTTTCTCGAATGCATTTGAGGACATTTCACCCTCACTGTTGCCAATTAGCCTTAATATCTTATCATAAACCTTCAACGGAATCGGGAAGCAATCAACGTAAAACCAATTTTAGCTGTATTAATTCAATGGTAAATCACAAGCGGGATTGTTACGCGTTCGTTCCGTATTTAAATGGGAATTCTTCTGCATGATAATGACGGGAAGAGGGAAATAATGCGATCTTACGCGCGCTGTCAAAAGCTTGTCTACCCAGTCCCTTCCCCACAGAAATTCGGGACGTTAAGCGTCGTTGGCGTGAAAGCTCGGGAGAGGCTTCTGACGAGCCTCGGCAACATTTCCCAGCGAGGGTATTTTTTTTGTTCCACCCGCGGAGATGCCACGGGAGAAATATTTTTTTTGTCCGTGCAAAGAAGCCTCGCTCAAAACTATTGACGCAATATTTGAAGATGAATGGGGACGCTGCCGTGTGATGTAGCGCTTAGCGCGCTCGACTTGGCAATCCAAAGGTCGCCGGTTTGATTCTATCTATGTGAGTCCCGAGACACTGCTTTTCAGGAGGGTCCTGCTCACGGTGTTTGGCTAGTTTTCCTTTGTGTGTGTGTGTATATATATATTTTTTGTAGGTATCAGGAAAATGAAGTGTGTGTGTGTGTGGGGATATATATATTTTTTGTAGGTATCAGGAAAATGAAGTGTGTGTGTGTGTGGGGATATATATATTTTTTGTAGGTATCAGGAAAATGAAGTGTGTGTGTGTGGGGATATAACGCTCAAAGATCCACACGGACAAGGTCACTGACCTCCCTGGCTGAACCACCCCATTTCAGTCCTTCCACCTCATGCGCCCTGCATCTGGGTGTCCCGCTCGCAATGATCTCAGCACGATCCCACCCAAGAACCCGTGGCCCTAATGTGCCGGATTACAGGCGAGCGTGCCGCGTGCCCATCCCAGCACTCTAGCGAGGCCACTCGCGAGCTCGCCGCTGCTCCACTCCGCGGCGGTGTCAGAAAACCAATATTGGGGGGAAGAAATCCGCTCAGATGAGGCCAGTCTCGCGCTGGCAATGAATCGTGCTCGGCGGCTTGTTCCAGACAACGGAAACACGCAGCGAACTTCTTATCAGACTGTAAATTAGTGAGAATCGTTGCATGTTATATATATTTTTTTACAAGCATGTGTCTTGGAATATTCAGTGGATTTTATTGCGTAGTCAGTGTGACAGAGTGCGTTGCGTAGCGCGCAGTCCGTATAAACATTGGCATAATACCACACGTGTGTCGTCTCATATTTATTTATATTATAATGATTCACAGTAGCCGCCGTGAAAGTAGAATATGGAATTGTTGATGTTATTGCCTTTGTCAATCCACGTGCTGGATGAAGGCCTCGCCATGCTGTGTCAGTTGCGGAGGCTGTTTGACCATGCTTCACCATCTTCTTGGTTCTTTCGGTAAAGTCACGTAGAATGGAAATAATAAAATAATAAAAATAAAACATAATAAAATAATTCTCACGACGTTTCGGCTACAACGCAAGCAGCCGTCCTCAGGTGGAGAACAGGTCTGTCGAGAAGACAGTCTGAAGTTTTTTTTTTGTAGGAACACTCTGTCTTTTCGACAGACCTGTTCTCCACCTGAGGACGGCTGTTTGCGTTGTGGCCGAAACGTCGTGAGAATTGTATTTTATTATGTTTTGTTTTTATTATTTTATTATTTCCATTCTACGTGACTGTACCGAAAGAACCAAGAAGATGAATCCCTGCAGTCACGAAAGCTTTCAATCGAAACATACTTCACCACTCTGGTGAAGGGGGGGGGGGCAGCCCACTCCATATGTCACTCACCACTGACGTTAAAACTTCCTAGGTTTAGTGCGCTCGCCAATGCATCATTGTTTCACCCTCTAATTTTTTTTTGCTGCGTGTATTCTTCTAAAATAATAGTAGTTTTTCAAGGTTAGGTTTTAACAAACAAAAACGTGTTCATGAATATTGTCATGCCATACGCAGAATTATGTTTATGCTTTTCGGGCGCATTCAATGTCGGAGATAACATTTGGCTCAATTTAAACCTGTAACAACAATGTACTGTACGACTGAAAACTAGGTGCCAGCCATCCCTTGGCTCGTAATATTTGCTGCCCAAGCACCCATAATGGTGATTAGCAGTGGATTGTACCACTTCTTTCCAGGGGACGCGTTGTTTATCTGTTTCTATTTTAAAAAAATAACACCGTCTGCCTACCCCTCTAAAATAAATATTAAAAACCACTCTCGACTGGATTGATGACGAGGTGAGGTGCCAAATCAACCTTTTATGTTTTATCAGATAGAGAATAAAAATGCTTTATTGTCTGTTGACGCGGTTGACAATCGGCTTTGCTGCTGCGTTTCTGACACTTCTCCCTGCAATTAGAGTCTCTCCGAGTTTGTATCATCCCTCCCCCACCCCCACAGCCAGAAAACAACACCGCCAAAATAGTCAGAGGTTAACTGCTATCATTTTTTTGCATCACAGTGCTACGTACCTATGGCAACAACTCTAACAAGCAAACAAAAAAACATTGGCCTTTGAGCAAATTCTGGCGACATTTAAATAAAATCAGGATGGTCGTGGCTTGTACAGCCCTTGTCCGCTATAAATTGGATTTTTTTTCTCTCTCTAGGTGCATATTCAAGGCTCAAATGTCAATCTATGATTTTAATTTAAGCATCTTAACCTAAGGGGCCTCGGGGCAAGCAGGTTGAAAAAAAAATATTAGTTTATAAATTAGCACGCTGATTTGTAATATTTATGCAAATATAACTTGTTTAGCTGTATTTCCTCACTGTGCACATTGCATTTGCATTCAAAAGTGTGTTTTGATACATTTGATTTCCAGAATTGAAAGTGACCTTGAAGTGATCTCTGTGAGGTTAGAGAATTCTGGGTACGCCTGCAACAGAAATTTCAGGAAAACTGGGATTTTTGTTGTCAAATTTTTTTACGTAACAAATGGACATGCATAAGAAAATAATGATTAATGATTACACAGGCGACTTGACTGTGCATGGCAATTTATCATCATAAACCACATTCTGTAGGAGCCATAAATAGGCTCGATCGTACACAACGCAATTAAATCACATGTTTTTTTTACACTTCATTAAAATGGATAATTGCGTTCTCTTTGTTTTGTATATGCGTGCTAGTTTATGGAGACATTTTTAAAATGTGCATTTATAAACGTGTTGGGCCACCTATTTTTTTTTAGTTCAACGTGCTATGTGAACATTTATTTACGGAATATAAATGTGTATTAGTGATTTGTTAGGGCGGGGGGGGGGGTTGCGTGTATGTGTGTGTGTGCCCTGTGTTATATGTATGTGTGTGTGTGCCCTGTGTTATATGTATGTGTGTGTGCCCTGCGTTATATGTATGTGTGTGTGTGTGTGCCCTGTGTTATATGTATGTGTGTGTGTTTGCCCTGCGTTATATGTATGTGTGTGTGTGTGCCCTGTGTTATATGTATGTGTGTGTGTGCCCTGTGTTATATGTATGTGTGTGTGTGCCCTGTGTTATATGTATGTGTGTGTGCCCTGCGTTATATGTATGTGTGTGTGTGTGCCCTGTGTTATATGTATGTATGTGTGTGTGCCCTGTGTTATATGTATGTGTGTGTGCCCTGCGTTATAACCACGCAGAATTGGGTTCAATCCCCCATCACCAGGGATGCTCCGATGCAGAATTTCAAGCTGGGCAATGCACGCTTTGATTCGCGTGCGCGAGGATGAACGATATAGTAAGCAGGCACATGTTGTGTGCAGCGTCTTCACGTGCCTCCTGCACTCACTCGAGGCCGCAACGTTGACCGCAATGTTAAAATGATCATCGCTTATTGAATCGAATGGGAGATCCTGTATCGCAACGATGCATCATATAGAATGGGAGTAGGGGCCGGGATTGAATCATTACACTCCTACTCATCACTCTCGTCGTAAATTAATTTTGGCATTGCGACTCAATTCATTTAATGATGATACTATTGTTGATAATGATGATGACACCAGCTGTAACGTAGACTCAAACTGGCCACATGTCGCATCACACCTGCGTTCGATTCCCGACCACGGCTAACGTCAGTGGCGAGCGATATGTTAACGAGTCCTAAGTACCCCCCCCCCTCCCCTTCACCAACCCGCACTGACCAGCGTGGTGAAGTATGGTCCGTCAACTCCCACGAACAACACGGCATGCGCGTTGGACACCTTCATCCGGCAGCAAAATGACTGAGTGCTAATCATCATTATTATTATTATCATTACTGGTATTATCACGGGTTATGTATTCGGTTTAACAGCACTTGCCTTGACGGTCGATAAAGATAACCTGCCAAATTGAAGATAAATTGCCACATCTAAATTTAATACATGAACCAAGCACACACATTCGCATGCGAGTTTTGAGCAGTATGTATACGTAACATGAAAGATAGAGTCTGAAAAAAAAAAGTGTTCGAATGCATTAAAAGATCAAGTATCAGAGGGCAGCAGATGTTCTGTGGTCTGTACGGAACCAGAGGTTACTCCTTCTCGTCTATGCGTTCGCTAGGCCCGAGCATGTAATTCCACCCTGGTCAATCACGTCTCCTAGCAACCGTGGAACTCTGCCCGCTGTCTCTTAGCAACCGTGGAACTGTTCCCCCCCCCCTCCGTTGCCATGGCAGCCACAGATAAACGGTCCTGCGGTTGCCTGGCAACCCAGAAATGCACTGTGAGAGTGAAGGGGTGGGTAGGGGTGGTGGGTGATGATCGACTGGGTTTGATAGCAGCGTGCAAAGGCCACGGTTTCTTTAGATTATAATTTTTCTTGCAGTTTTGTATTCTCCCCCCTTCAATCTTTATATCCTTTTTGCTTTTGAGGGTTGACAACGAAATGTCTCGGAGTGTCCTTGTGGTCCATTGCCCTTCCTTGCATTACGCAGTTCCGTGCTGCTCAAGTTTCGAAGGTAAATAATGTGCAATCTCGTGCCATGTCACAATTGTGCAACGGTTCACCCTTCATTTGCACCGATTTTGCAATTCGTTGCTTCTCGTGGCAATGTTGGCGGAGCCGTGACGCAGTTTATTAACGCGCTGCACGGGTTCGATTCGCCTAACGCCAGCGGTGAGTCATATCTGAATGAGTCCTCAGTTCCTCTCCCCTACTGCCGCTTCACCAGTCCGCATTGTCCTGTGTGGTGAAGTATAGTCAATCCCCCCCCCCCACCGAGAACTTCATCCAGAAGTGGATTGACAAAGGGCTGTGTATAATCGCAATATATTTTACCCGACGGGTTTCCTTCCCTTGCAAGCAAATGTATGCGCTATCTCCAGAGGCTATCTCTCTCCTGGTTTAAAGAAAGGTTATAAATGAGAACGGGAAAACTCCAATCAATCAAGGGTACTTAGGCCATATTCTGATCACAGGTAGCACATTAGCCTTGCCTTGTTGTGATTAATAAGGCAAACCGGCTTGTGTGTAGTCGTAATCCAAGCTGGTACTTTACATAAACAGAATCCCGGTAATAAAATTTTTATGTCACTGTATGAATCAATTCCTGTCGGTAAACTTCGTGGGGTTTTTTTGTTATGATAATGAGCGTCATGCTTGCAATGATAAAAGTTAAACCTGAGTAATACAATAGATATTATTAAAGGCATTGTGTTGTTTTCACGTCTGTTTTTGTTGTTGTTATTGTCACGTTTAGCTTGGAAACTGCTGAATTAAGAAGGTTTTAATTTCTAAAGTATTTTGCAATTGGTAATGAAACTGGAGTATATCATGGGACCTGTTTTGCCAGTATCAAAGTATGAAAAATAAGAATCGGTTTTACCCTTTCTGGCAATAAAACGATTGTCTCTGGTGTAGGCCAATCCGTTTCAAAGACTGCATATGTTATAATATGAATTATCAGAGCATGTTTGTTTGCATGTTCACCACAAGTACGTGTGGTCAATGCAGACTTGATTCCTTGCAAAAGGTTTCTATTTGGTGTTTGAACATGTTTTATTGCCAGAAAGGGTAAAAGCTTCTTATTATTTCTCATAAAACGGAGTATCCGGATAAAACGCATTCATATGATAGGATAGCAGGATAATGTCTTGAATTTTGCATATCTTTTATTCAGTTGCATTCAGATAACGTTGAAACCTGTGATAAAAGGAACGGATCGGCTCATCATTGATGCTGTGTACATCCTGTGTGGGTATGCGTCCGTGTGATGCACCTAGCCTGCCACAACCACGTTACCGCCACTTCGGGGCCAAAGGCGGTTGTTGTTGTGGTGTAGCGCACAACCCCGTATATCCGAGTTCGATTTACGAGTTTGACATATATCTGAACTGGTCACAGGCCTCCCCTAGGTCGACTCAGCCTAAAATTTGTATATGTGCGAACATCGGCACTGGGGATACAAAGGTGGTGGTGGACACCCATTCCTTCGTGTGCCGTGCCGGCCTTCACAGCTGCTCACAGAGCAGCACTTGCCCGCACAGTCTGCTAAAGACTATATGGGGGATCTTTGTCTTCGTGGGGAGTGGTGGTGTAGTTGTCAGCGCACTGTGCTATATGAACCCGACGACCCAATTTCAATTCCCACTCAAGGCCAATATCAGTGGCAAATATCTGAATCGGTCCCGGGGCCTCCTCAAGGTCCACTCAGCCTTCATCGGGTACGGTCCTGCAGTGTACTGCGTGCAGTGCGTAAACATCAGTACTGGGGAGACAAAGGCGACCGTGGTACTGGCCACCCACCCCATCGTGTGCCGTGCCGGTCTTAATTAGCTGATAACTTGCTACCAACTTTTGCCACCCAACAGTCTACTAAAGGGAAACACAGGAAGCGTTATTTTGTGTCCTCTGTGTTTGCCTACGATTCGTATGTTGATGCGCACATGCTGCAGTGCGTACGTCACGACGGCGATGAAATCGCTTGACGTCCTTGCTGTAGATACCAACTTTGGGCGAGAATGTTTGCAAAACGCGGCCACAAAGGCGTTTGTTGCTGACCACACATGCACGCACCTGTACATAGCCGGCTAAATTAATACTGGAAGGAACCTCCTGGTTACACCAGCCCACAGAGGATTATTGTGTCCGTCCGTCGTGCAGGGAGGGGCTGGGTGGGGAGGGTGGGGAGGGGTCTGGGTGGGGAGGGTGGCGCTGGGGCTGGGTGGAGAGGGTGGGGCTGGGTGGGGGGTGGGAGGAGTGGGGCTGGGTGGGGAGGGGCTGCTCACCCCGTGGTGCCCTTATAAAACTCAACGTTTAACCTACTCACGTCGGCTTGTGCCCGACCTCACAGTCGGGCATATTTGCGGAATACACCACGCCGCCGTTGACCCTGGCCATTGACCGAGAAACCCAACGTTCCTACCAGCTCCCTCCGAAGGAATGTGTTTGTCAACAACTTTTTTTTAATAATTTGACGTCCCGTGGGGATGTTGAGCAAGGAGTGTTAATTAAAGTATTATACTGTATATATATATATACGTATTAAAGTAACGTCGGGGTTTTTTTTTGCGTAAGTGGTGGTGGTGACAAGCAAGCGAAAAGCCCCTCCAGGGAGGAAAGTAAGTCTGCCTCATCTCTCGAGTCGCAGTCTCTTCTCCAGATTTCCCAATTAGCACCGAGGCTGGCTATCCAATTAGGCGCCAAACGCTCTTCTCGCTCTGCTTAAGATGTGACAACAACAAGAACAACAAACGACTCGATAGTTTCCTTCTTTTAAAATTATAATCCTTGTCCATCGCCCGCTTCCTCCACCTCCGCCTGCAACACGGCGTCATCATGCTCTTTGTTTCATCTCGGCGCTGTCAGAGTGGGGGAGCGAGGTGGGTGGCGTTGGGGGTGGGGGGCTGTGGGGGAGGGGCTGTGGGGGAGGGGGGCTGGGGGGGGGGTGAGCTTGCACCCCCCCCCCTTGGGAAATAATTGCAACTTGTCTGTACGGCGCGCGGCATGGAAATATAAAAATAAATAAATCCGACCAACGTCAGGCAAAAGCTTTACAAATTGAATTAATGTTATGCTCCTGTGCCTTATGCTCACCAACAATGATCTTTTAAACACAATTTAAATGAAAATTCCTTCCCAGTAGTGAATCGTATAAATAAAAAACAAACGAGACGGTCACCCCAGCGTCGAGCGAGCCAGGCTCAGTGACGGGGGGGGTCCTCGTGGAGATATCCGTCGTGTCGAGGTCGCTTCGCCGGTGTTTTGCGTCATCTACAACTGCTGGGTTTGACTCAATCAAGTGAGTCGAGCTAACAAGCAGCTCCCACCTGCCGTAGTGGGGCAAATGGAGGGGCATTCAATTCTCATAATCAAACAGCAACCATTGTCTATCCACTGATGGATGAATCCCCTCCCCCCTTTCCTGCGGTCCAATGATTCTGCTTTGATCCGTCCATGGAATAGGTTCCATCTCCGTGGTGGTCGTTCGTCTCGGAAGCGGTTCTACCGTTTGAAAACCACGGCACTGATCCCTGACTGCACAAAGATTCGCTGCTTTTGTTGGCTGTATGCGAACTGGCTTGGAGAGCCAGTCAACGTTGGCTTGGTGGTTGTTCCGTCGGTCCATTTCGACTGTCTGGGCAACCTGGGGAAGGAGGAGGGGGAGGGAATGCCCATTCTGCACGCTGTGGCGTTCAGTGCAGAGGTGACACTTTGTACGTCTGTCTGTTGGTGACCCCCAGTGGGTGTGTGTGTGCCACTGCAGTGGAGACAGTCATGGACAACGCTTTGTTACAGCTACCAGATACCATGGTTTTTGACATATTTTTGCAGTGGATTGATCATGGCTGCTGTCGATGGTAACGTTGAGTGTTAATCGCACGTATCCGAGCCTTTGTGCATTCACGGAGGTGAGAGCTGCAGCAGAAGGCACAATGGACAAAATCAGATCGTATCGCTACTCATTCTGGTCAGCGTTGAACATTTTGACATCTGTTCACGGTTTATTTAACACTGACCGTGTCTCACCCCCCCCCCCCGCTTCCCTTTAAACAGAGTGACGTTGTATGGTTGTGTCGGGACACTGCAAACAGTGTAGCCACATTCACGCATTAAATATATATTTTAAAATATCTCGATCAGCGCGTGAGCAGTAAGTCTGTGTGCCTTTTAGTACACGGCACCATGGTGATGGAACATATTCTCAAGTAACGCTTTGCTCAAATGAGCATTGAAGGTGGTGCTTATCTCCTGTGGAAAGTCTACATTTCTATGGCGGGGGCGAGTCTATCTAAAGGACAACCACTTTTAACTCTCTGGTATTAATTGTATCGACCCCAGAAGGATGATAGGTTGAGTAACCACCACTGCTCGACTGTTCAAGTGCCAAGTACAAATTCTGCCATTCTGAATTCTGCATTTTTCATTCAGCCGTGGGTTATATTTTATTACATTTTATCATCTGGTACTCTGGAATGTTGTGGACATAAAAGCACTAAAACTGCAAAATTACGGCGATGTAACACGGAATAAAAGTTTCTGGGTTAATGCGTGCGCTAAGTGAACGCCTGTAAATTTTAAATCCATGTTAAAGCACGTCGTGAAAGCAGCCCAATAAGAGAT